CCCCAAAACCCCAAAACCCCAAAACCCCATGGGATAAGAATCTATTCAATAGAATAGATCAATATGATGAGAGTTTATGTTTGCAATTATAATATTTAAATATGAGATCTTATCTATCTATACTGGCACTCTCAGTGTTGCTGTGTGGCACTAGTACTGAAGCTAGATAAAACAAAGCACTAAGAAATGCTTAATTCAAAGAGAAGTTGGATAAATTAAAGCTAGGGAAGGCAGAAGAATGGGTAGAGCCCACTATCGTGCACATTGTTCCACATTCCTACAATGGCTAATTCTTAGACGCTATTGACTAATATTTCGAGGAGGACAAAGACCAACTCAAGCAATAACACTTTGACAAAGTCTTCAATTCTGTAGTAAGAGCCATGAAAAAAGATCCAACCAGGACATTCTCTCATTATGAGGTGAAGCACTTCTCCAACTGGTACATGAGACAGAATCACGATGTCAAGAACCTTATCTACGAATGGATGCAATAAGGCAATTTCGAGATTATTGGAGGTGGCTGGGAAGTACATGAAGATGCCTGTCCCAACTACGCTGATATGCTCACAAATATTTATAAGGGACACAAATTCCTCTATGATTAACTTTGGTATTTCCCAAGAGTTGCTTGGTCGCTTGATCAATATGGACATTCCTCAACGAATGCCAGAATCTTTGCTGAGGCTGGTGCTGAAGCTTTATACATCAGGCATATTGATCCCCAAGAAAGAGAAAAGAGACTCTCTGAGAAATCTATGGAATTCCTGTGGAGACCAAACTTCCAACATCTGGGACGCAAAGCAGAAATCTTTACCCATGTGTTCTATGATTTCGATGCCTCACCCTTTGATTTTGATGTCCTTGATCCACCTGCTGCTAATAGCACCTAGAACTTTGAAGTTGACAAGAATGAATGGGCTTGGTACTGGGGAAACAAAACTGATGACTGGTGGTTTAATGAAGACGAGTATGATGATGACTGGAACAAAGATGAAGATGGAGATGAAGATGATTGGTGGAATGATGAGGAGTTCTGGAAGGACCTCATTGACATTTTTAAGAATGTAACAGATCAGCTTAACAAAACTATCGAAGATTAACCACAAACCAGAATGAGATTATTAAGAGAGTTTTAGCTAGGACAATAAGTCAGAGTAGGCACAAGAAAACTCAAAGATTTTGCAATGGAGATGGCTCAATACTACAACACCCCTCATATACTAATGATGGTTGGATCAAGCGTGAACTTCGAAGATGCTGAAGACTATTACCATCAGATGGACATGATGATAGAACTATTCAACAGAAATCATAAGGACATTGTGCTGACTCACTCAACTCTCAGCTTCTTTGATGAAGTGATTGAGTTTCATGCTTTCGACCATCCTACATCTTACTTCGATATAATGCCGATTGCTGACAGCCACCACAACTACTTCTCAGGCTTATACTCTTCCAGAGAAAATCTCAAGTCTTTGATTAGAAGAGGAGGGTAGTAACTGTCTGCCTTCAGCAAACTTTTCACTTCAGAAATTCTTCATGACGACATTAAATAGGACAGAGTGAACAGAATTCTTAACGTGACTGATGAACTCTAAAGAGCTGTCGCTCAAGCTCAATCAGTTGATGGTGTGTCAGGTGTGAGCAAGAAAGAATTCGCTGATAAAATCTCCAAGGATCTTACTGCGGCATTACAAAAAAGTAAAAGCCTTTCAGCCGAAATAATAGATGCAGCAGCACAAAAAATTGCTGGAATCTCTCTTGATAAAGGAGCTTCATATCAATGGTGTTTAGAAATTAATAATATCAGCTCTTACCTTGAATGCCCTATTAAAGATCATGCTAAAGATACAAAATTATAAATGATTGTAGCAGTCTTTAACTCAGCCACTGCCAACTCCAAAATAACATTAGTTGGAGTACCTCATGGAAATTTATCAGTTCGTGCCTATAATGAGTCCTCAAAGTAATTTGAATTAACAAATGCCACAGTGATATGCGATCAAACTTCTGAGGTCAATGACTGCAGACTTTATGCTAAGCATAATATCGAAGGCCACGGAATAGGTTTCTTAGAACTAAAGTACGATAGCAACTCCAACATTACCTCTTAGATTAAGCAAGACTTAACTTTCAAGATTGAAAACTCAGTTTAAATCATTTAATACAAGGGTGAAGATTAAAAGCTAGGCTCTCAATTCGTAATTCAAAAGAAGAAATATATCAATAACTTCCACTTCTCATTCGATTTAAGGTACTATCCTTCTTACCAGGGCTTCTAAGGCTCCAGAAGCGGTGCAGGTGTGTTCAAGCCAGCTGTCAATGACTCTCTGAAGTTCAGCAAACTCGATAAGATCTACTATCAGCAAGGAAGTGTTGTCTCTCAGATTACTTTGATTTACAGAGATAGCAAAACTAATGAGACTGCCGAGGTTAGAGCAAGACTATACGATGGTGATTCTATCATTAAATGGGATGTCCTTGTTGGAGAACTACCAAGGTTAAAGCAAGGCCAAGAGATCACCATAAACTTCTATAGTCCTGACATTAAAAACGATGGAGAATTTTTCACTGACTCAAATGGGCTTCAAATGGAAAACAGGCAACTTAACTACAGACCAAATTACAACTATATTCCTAATTAACACCAAAACATCTCACACAACTACTATCCAGTTACTAGTGCGATAGCAATCAGAGATAAGGGTTTCAGCTTATATCAAATGACTGTTATGACTAGCTAAACTCAAGGTGGTTCAGTTATCAAGGAAGGAAGAATTGAAATAATGCATTCAAGACGACTAGTATTTGACGATAATTACCACACGGGTGTTATTCTTTCAGAGACCGAGCCAGTCTAGGCAACATACTATCTTCAAATCTTCGACAGAGAATTCGAAGAGTCTCACTAAAGACGTCTTTAACTACACATGGATAGTCCCCTTGTCACTTACTTTGCCTTCAACTACAAAGTTAACAGCAAGCAGATCCAAAGCAACTCTTAACCTCTGTTGAACATGCAGGAACTTAAATCTGTTGGTATCCCAAGCCTTGCCAAGGTTGAATTCATTCCATTTAACAGATCCCAGATCTACTTTAGAATAGATAACTTGCAAGATAAATTTGACTCAAAACTAGGAGACAAACAGAATGTCAGTTATATCGATCTCAACGCCTTTGCTAACTTAGTCTACTTCAAGCTTCATGGCAAAAACCTTACTAAAAATCAATATATGTGGATTTCTGAAATGACAATCAGTGGAAACTAAGAGTACAAATGGGCTAAGTATGAGAAAGTTATCTGGCAAGGAGCAGATGATGACTTTATTGATACCAGTCAACTTCCACTTGACAAGAGCTCAACGATGGTTTCTTTAGAGCCACAAAGAATCAGAATGTTCTATTTGGAGTACTACTACTGGGCTGGCGAAGACTGGGGTGAAACTGATGAGAAATACGAACCTCAAGTCAATAAAACCATTTCATTCATTCAATGAGATCTTAATCCACAAAAGTCATTTATTAATTTATGAAACATATTCTTAAATCTTATTTCCCAGAAATTTAATTGGATAGCATGAAGCACGGGGTTTTGGGGTTTTGGGGTTTTGGGG